TTAACTTGCAGAAAAACAATGAGGTTTCAATCACTGTTTCACTGATAGCTATAAGTCAATACAACCACACTATTCTTATGTAAGAGCACCAGCTGGGGTTATTTGGTCAAGGTCTTCATTAAAATGACTGATGGCAACTAATCCAGCCCTCCCATTAATTAAGTGAAAGAAATAAACAAACAAACAATTAATCAGTTAAGCATTAAGCAAACACACAGCTGAGAAACCTGACAATTGCAAGCATAACACTAACCCCCCCTTAAATAAGTACCCAAAGCGGATGGATTTCTTTCAAAAAATATACATTAACTGATAAATGTTTAATGTGCTTACCTTAACAAAGGACACTCTTTTTTTTACGCCAAATCTCATAATGACCAACACATCTGCTCCGTCTTTTCTGTCAAGCTTCAATATTGTGATGCCTTGTAACACATGTAAAAGTAAAGTTTAAAGATTCAATGTACCATGAGCTCACATAATAAAAAACAGCAAAACCTAACCAAAACATGGCATGCTTATTTTACATGTTTATTATCATTTAAAGAAGCCCTATGACATGTTTATTTAAATTCAAAGGGGCCCTATTATGCTCATTCAGGTTTAATTATATGATATGATTATATGATATGTTGCATACTATGTGTTAGAGCGCTAGCCAATAGAAGGGCGAGGGTAACAGAGTGACATTATGTTACGGAAGTAAACCAAGGAGTCCAGTGGATGCGTTTCAGGCAGGAGGGTGGGGGGTTGTGGTAGAGGAACTCCCTATGGAGTGAAGTTTGGGATTATAGCCTTTGGAGACCATTAATATGAACAAAAACCTCTACCACACATTACAGGAAAGGGAATCCCTAAAAAGATCCTACGTGTGCAAAGTTACATCATTTCTTTGAACCCAATTTGTTGAGGTAACATATTGATTTTTAGAGTGGACTATATTTTTATCTGTGACATTGCAATTTGGGAAATAGGTCATCCCAAGTCTCGGAAGCTTGGCTTGGTGACAAACAGAAAGCTGACTGAATACCTCCAAAACAAATCATATTAGTTCATGAGCCTCAGACCAGATTCCAGTCTGTGATTTTTGGCCTTGTCACTGGGATTTTTTTACTGGGTATCGCTGAATGCAGGGCTTTTTTCAGCAACTGGGGATGGGTTTAAAAAGAAGCTTCACAATGGTTGCTTTGTGTCGGGCTCAGCTACTTGGGGAAGGCAGAGAGGCTCTCGCAGGCTTCGAAAAACTCCAAGACAACACGACTTCAGATGCTGTCTTCATTTTGGAAAAACTTCAGAATTTTTCAAAACCTGAACCCCAAGTGAAGCTGCACTGGAAGCTTATACCAATGTATTCTTTCTCAGCTAAAAAGAAAACTGAAATCAAGGTAGTGGATTTGGGAAAACAAAAAAAAAGTCAAAAGATATATTACATTACAGTGGGTGGAAAATGGGTTTAGGCTGCATTGCAATAATGTAAATAGTATATATATTTGAGTAGGGATGTTTATTTATTCTCATGCTATCACTGCCATCTACAGATCAGCCGTGAAAGTTCAGATAAGGGTGTTCTCTGTTTGCCTTCACTGGGAGCATCTATAAACATGTATTTCTTTCTTTAGATACCAGACAATGAAAATGCCACTCTGAGCCTAGTGCAGCTGTAAGATTTCCTCGATACCGGGGGCATGAAAAAAGCCCAAAGAACCAAACAACCTTGAGCTAATTTGGAAAATATTGCTAGGGATATAGGTACCAAATGAATGTATGAGTAATTACAAAAAATGTGTTTATATATACAAATACAGTGCAATATACCATCTGAAACAACAGTGGGAAACTGGTGACTAGACATCCAAACAAGAGGGTGAAGAATATAATTATTTTTTCCTGGGCAACAGGAAGCCAAACATCATTAAGTGAAACCAAGGTCAAAATGCCTTGGATGTGGGAGGGGCGGAGAAAAGGCTGAAAGCAGGTAGATAAAACATTTACTCCTAATGACTTACCTTCAGTAGAGCAGACCAGCAACACCATGGACATCGGCACAGCAATTTTAATAATTGGCTTCGCTGCTCTTGTTGCAGCCTTCCTCCTTCTGGTAATTGGACTTGTGTACTCTGAGCTGATGAATTCAGACATTCCTCGTGGGGTTGCAAATAGATGGAAACTGCACATGGTTCATGGCTTGTTTGTTGGCATAGCAATTGTGGTGAGTATCTATGGCATCTAGGAAATTGTTAATGCTTATTATTTGTATGCTCCATTAATGTTTTGCATATTATGTTTTTAAATATTAAATGCACTTAATCCTTAGTGTGAAGGAATATGACTGTTCGTCCAACAGAAAAAAACTACTCTTTTAGGCTGTTGTCAAAGATGGCTGTCCTTTCTGTGTCCTCCAGGAACTGATAAAGCTTACATCAGAGACATTTTAGATAAGATATCAAGTCTAACACAGGTGCATAAAAGGCAAGGTCATGTGTTCCCTTTCTTTGATGTTGTCATGGTAAATACGGTCTCTCAGACAGAATAACTTTGACTTTGACTTTACCTATCAAGAACACTGATAATTCTTTGTATTTGAAACATAAGTCTGTGGTACCTTTCCCCTAAAGGGTCGTATCCTACATCGCCTGGGTGTTTGTCATCAGATCAGCTTTCTCCGATGGTTTGTTGCCTGTTTCCTGACCCGCTTAAATCCAGTTCCTGCGGGTCTGCGAGTGAAGGATATGAAGTTTTCTGATGTCCCGGTGCGAGTCTATGAACCCACAACAGTGTGTGACGGCTTGAGAAGAGGTCTTGTGTATTTCCCTGGAGGTGGATGGGTATTGGGAAATATAGGTAAACAACGTTAAAATAATTAATTTGAGTCATACTGTAGAATGATACTCTTTTATGTGCATTAAAATTGTCATTTGTATAGTTTTACCTGGCATGACCTAAAAGCTATATCCACATAAATAATCAAGTTTTTTGCAGTATTCCTGAACTTAAATGAACTTTCATAGCATCAGAATATAGTTGTATTTATGTATGCATGTGTTTTTAAGACTTAGATCATAAATTAAAGGACATTTGAATATATTTGCAGATAAAGTTCCCCTCTTGTATATTAATTTACACTGTTTATTTTACATTTGGCTCAGGAACTGACCCTTGAGATAATTAATGTTGATATTATTGTGGAAAAAAGGTTTGCAGTCTCTACCAAAAAACAGTTTTTGCTTATCTTTAATGTAGGCCTACTGTGTTTTTATCTGTCCAGGTGTTGGATACTTTATATGCTAGACAGTTTGTTCCCTTATTTTAATTATGTGCTGTCTGGAAAAAAACGGAAATTAAAAAACAGAAAGTTGAGTAAAACAGAAATTTGTAAACTATGTAAATACATAGTTAATATAATAACTACACTTTTTAATTTGTTTTTAATTTGTACTTTCCATCATTACCATCACAGTATGCTCACCGAATACACAGTGTTGACGGCGATAGCAAAGGTTGCCATTCTGTCTTTAGTGCATATATTCTGCTAACAGGGATCCTAATTCTCCACAGATTCTGTCGATGAAGTCTGTCGGCACATCGCCAAGGAAACCAACACGACGGTGGTTTCTGTTCGGTACTTAAACTTTTCAATTCAAATAAATACTCCAGAAAATCTTCCAAAGAGCCAGAACTAACCATATTGTCACTCCACCTTCCCTCTCACCCCTCTCAGGTACCGATTAGCCCCTGAGCACAGGTACCCTGCCCCGCTGGACGACTGTGAGGCAGCGACATGTCACTTCTTGTCTGTGGCCGAGGCAGAGTTTAGCGTGGACCCTCGCAGAGTGGCAGTGGGAGGGGACAGCACTGGGGCTAACCTGGCAGCCGCGCTGTGCCAAAGGCTGGCGAGGAGAGAGATCGGACATCTGCTGTTCCCCTGCGCTCAGGTCCTCATCTACCCAGCCCTGCAGATGGCAGATTTCAACCTGCCCTCATACCAGCAAAATCATGCTGTGCCCATATTGTTTCGTGGCCGTATGGCGTTCTACTTCCTGCAGTACCTCAATGGGGACATGTCGCTGTGCCAGGACGTTTTGGAAGGCATCCATGTCCCAAATGAGCTCAAGCCACAATATGAGGAGTGGCTCTCCCCTTCTAATCTTCCTGCTGGGTTCCTTGCGCGAGGTTACGAGAAGCACCCAACCCCTGAGTATGATGGGCAGGTGTATCACGCAATGAAAGATGGTCTGGAACACGAGGTTTCTCCTTTATTGGCGGAAGATGCTGACATTCAGAAAACACCTCCCACCTTTATCCTCACCTGTGAGTATGATGTTCTGAGGGATGATGGGTATTTGTATAGGAAACGACTGCTGGACTTGGAGAAGGATGTGACCTGGCGCCATTTGGCGGGGGGTTTCCATGGCATGATTAACTTCTTCAACCATTGCTGGCTCGGCTTTCCCTCCGCAGTGCAGGTGCTGGATTGTGTTGTGGATTACATAAAACAACTGTGAAAAGCATGTACTTTTTTCTACTTTCTATTTTGTTATATTTTTTGGAATAAACAAATATTGCCTCGAGTGACAACGTTTTCTTCTTCATTAAAAGTATAGTGTTCAAAGAAGACTAAAACTCCACACAAATCGATAACAAAACTTGTTTTATACCCAAAATAAATGAAAGTAGCCTGAAGATAAACAGTGTGAAAACAACTTCTGGCACCATTTCAACAATATAGAGTGTTAAAAAGTTAGATGTCATGCCCTAGTCTTAAGAAATGCATCTTCTTTCAACACAGATGTAAGACATCTCCTATTTGCTTCCAGGATACTCCGCTTGCCTCCTCTTTCAGTGTTTGCTGTATCCATAGCAACAGAGCTCTTCTATTTCCTAGGCCATCATGGGGCCAGGTGAATGCTCCTACATGCTATCTGTTTGACTATAGTTAACCATGTTCTAACAGCTAGGCCTGCGGATTTCCCTGGTTAGGTGCATTTGGCTCCAGGTAAAACATGAAGCAAACTGGGACATCACAGGACAAATGGTCCCAACCCGGCTGGAGGATAGAGCAGAAGTATGCAAACAAAGTGCTGTTAGGCAACTGGGCAGAATACAGACTTCAGGTAAGTCTTTTTTTGCTTGTGTTATTTCCGTTTGTCTGAATAAGATGATCTGATTTAATCAACTTCAATTGAATGTGAGAATAAAAAATATCTATGCCTCTTTTTTGCTGTGAATCCGTTAACATAATTTAATACAAGTGGCAGCTTGCCAAGGGTTTTGTAGCACCTCAGTTGGTAGTCAAATCTATAGCAGAGTGATTAGCAGCCTCAGTTCAGCTACCTCAGCACAGCCTCCTGGTGGGAGAGGCAAGAGCCGGAGACTAATTGCATCGACGTGAGGTTCGGCCACGGGCTGCTGGTTCAGGATCTGAGAGAAGAAATGACTTAAGAAACACTGTACAACAGAGCGGATCGATGGCGAGGTGTGAGCTTTGCTGATCGTTGCGCTGGGCTCATTGCTGAAGTCCCTGTATAGGCCTATATCCCCCCCACACCTCCTCATTCCTCTTTTGTGATGTCTGTTTATTCTGTTTGACGCAGTTCACTCGAGAGGCACAGACAGCCAGCAGCACATATCGTTCAGACCACCGCTCCCACTGGGACTTCAGGCCAGACGTCTCTGTGAGGAGGACTGCCCTGCATAGAGCTGATGTCAGCCTTAAACTGGTCATTCATGGCATTAACACCAATTGAATGCCTGTCAAAACCCTGCGAGTCAGGGCTTTCTTCTCTAGATTGTGGCCACTTCTGCATAATATTGACGGTCTAGATAAAGGCCTGTGATAAACTCTTTATGAAAGCAGGTTTCTGGTCAGACTCAGCAGCCGTGAAAAATCTGTAAAATCATCAGTCCTATCGGGCACTTAAAGGCTACTTAGAGCAATTTGCTGCTGTCACATGCTGAGCCTATTGAAGATCATTGTAAAAGAACAGGTCATGCCCTTTTTAATCTTAATCCAGTGAAAGCTAATGTATATGTGTGTCGAGACTGCTCTGTATTTTCTTACAGGGGCTCCCATCCAAGCTGCTACTTGACCACCATGGCCCACCATCCTCTCATTACTTGGTCACACACTATGGAGAGAGCTACCAGCACACCAATGCTTTGCCCAATCTGCGACCATGGCATCCAGACAGCTTGACATGGCAGCTGGAGAGGGTTAACCGGACAATTTCTGGTAAAATAGAGCACAATTTAAAGTACCACAACTGCCGAAAGGTGAAGATTATATTTACAGTGGGTGTATTGAAAACATACTTCGCTATATTAAATTGTGTTCGGACAAATCACATCAGCAGTGCATGAACAATTAAACTTAGTGCCCCCAGATGCCTTTGTTATGGTTCCAGGTCAGTCACCAGTGTAATTAATGGCCGCAGTAACATGGCAGTTAACTTCCCTACTGTGTTCGCTCACAGCCCTTCCAACCAACGCTGGCCCACCGCGGTCCACAAAGCAACGCTTGGAAAAGCAGCAGTCACACCTCCCGTCGCTGACTGTGTACGGGTCAGCATACCAGAGGCACCCACTTAGTGCCTTCTACCAGAGCCGCTTTGCCAGGGCTTCACGCATGCTCTCCAGCCACCTCCACGCAGCCAATCACAACAACAAGGACCTGGATCTGAGGCGGCACTCATTACTACTAATCCCAGATCATTGTTTGAGTCAACTTCAACAATCACGACAGGCTTAGAGAAAACGATGGGACTCTAGAATTGCCTCACACGCTGCATGTTAATTTAGAAGTCCTGTTCAAAGTGCTGTGTGTTTCCTCTAATGTGTTAGTCAGCTGCATGACAACACTGAACAGAGCAAAGCATTCGGCAAATCAAGAATAATTAAATAATTAAACATGATTCTCATTTTGACCCTGTAAAGTAGGGGTGTCAAACTCAATTTCATCACGGGCCACATCAGCATTATGGTTGCCCTCAATGGGCCGGTTTTAACTTTAAGACTATACAAAAAGAGAAGTATACATATTGAATATGATAATGTATTATATTACATTATTGCCTCTGCATTGGATTATTATCGGATAGGGTAATAACTTTATAATTAACTGCGTCTGAAAGCAAATAATTGCAAGTCTCATCAGTGAGAATGTCACAAAATGATTTTAAAAGAAAAGCCACATTCTGGAAAAACGAAACAAAAGAAGTGACATTTTGAAAAAAAAAAATCTATTTATGAGAAAAAGGCTACATTTAAGAAAAAATGCATATTTTGACAAAAAGTCAAATTCTGAGAAAAAGTCAAATTTAAGATGCATTGTGGGACATGTAGTTTATGGGCAACGTGCTTCTGTAAAGTAGCATGTAACTGTATAATAAACATATTATATTCTTTGCAAGCTCTTGTGGGGCCACATAAAATGAAGTCGCGGGCCGGATTTGGCCCCAGAGCCTTGAGTTTGACACCCCTGCTGTAAAGACTACTGTGGGTTACTGTGTGTTGTGTGGCGAGTAGTCTTTAATGTTTATATATATATATAAATGTGTGATTTTGTTTAACCCTCCTGTTGTGTTCGTTTCTCCCCTCTTACTTTGGTTTTCCAGATCAATTTGAATGGGCTGCTAACTGCTCTTACATTAACACAAAACCATTAATAATCACCAAATTGTATTAAACACATATCAGACTACTGGTTTAAATGAATAACTGCAGTGAATATAGAAGGAATAGACTGTGAAAATGTATTCCAAAATTAACTTTTGATCGATTTGTGGGTGTGTCCTATCTAATGGATGAATATAATGTTACCCATTCATTTCCTATAGAAGTCATTTTTGACAACTCAAAGTTACAAAGTTGACTCAACCACTTACAATTCTATGTAAGTGTTGATCAGCAATTGTATATGTTTACAAATGCCTAGGATATCATAAGGCCTTGAAGCCTCAAAGGAAAAATATATATATTTCTGATTGATGAAAGAAGTAAATTGGTTGGATTTGACCAAAAACGACAGAAGGGTTAAGAAGGAGAAAGGAAAGTGCTATAATTTAGTTCTACCAGAGGATAATAACTAAATTATCCCACATTCTACCAATTATATCTGAATAATGGGCTATTATGACCATAGAAACAATGATGGAAACAAATAACTAAAAGAATTGTGATGCAAGTACTGACCTGTAAATCGAGGCAAACCGGAGGCCCGAGTCATCCCAGGCAACATCTGAAGGGACGTCTGTAACTCCCATTCAGTGAGGTGTTTTGTTACAGGGGATCAAAGTGTTTAATTAAGGAGAATCAAAGGTGCTTATGTTTGATGGTCAACCATCTGCGTCTGTTTCCCTCTCCCCGCCTGCCTGCTGCCTTCCAGTGCACCTGAAGCACTTCACCCACTGTTTAGCTAGTTAGTCACTCCACTGTGCTGCTAATAGCTGCACGTCACATGGCTCCTCTGAGATGTGGGGAGTCTATAGCCTGAACATGTTCTTCCCTATGCACTGTTGTGTGTGCCTCGTAAGCCACATGATGGTGCTATAGCAGCATGTCACTCTTTGGAATATGTCAGTGTGTCTTTGAAGTCCTCTGCATTACAGCAAATGAGCAAACAATGAGGGATTTATTATTTTTCATATTATTCGTATGCTTATATCCATTGTTATTGTAATTGCTTAACACCACAAGTGCTTAGATTGTTCCTATTTTATTCTTTCATTGGTTTTAGGTCACACAAATACTGAAATAGACATTTGGATTACTACCCATACTCATTAATTGTAGGTTAATGAGCAATGAATACAATCATATTATTCTTTTCATGTTTATAAAACAAGGGATTTATTTGGTACAATGAACACAAATACAAATACACTTCATTCTATCCAACAAATGACGGCAAAATAATACAATTATACAAATAAAAGCAAGTCTTAGTATTGAAAGAGTCACATAAGTAGTGAAAAAAATGCTTATCGAAGCCCACCTATTTATATTGTATGACACATCCATTTACACCCTGTCATTTTAAAGAGCAAGTTTACATAATTGCGTTGTATCCAGGCCACTGTGTAAGTTATATTTGTGCCCTACACAGTGGAGTCGAGTGATTGATTATCACTTTATTGCCCAATCTTTGTAATGTGTTAGAGTTGAATGAGCTCATTTACTCTGAGTCTTATTTATGAACTATCTAAAGAGGTTAAGCATCTGGAGTGATATAAAACCAACGTAATGGCAGGAAGGAGTGGCAAATCAAATAAGCAAACAATTTACATGGCAGCACATCCTGCGTAAATCTAAGTAAACAGTAGTTGGACTAACATTAAGAGTCTAATATTTTACATCTGCTGCCAGGGACTGAGATATTAGAAACAAACATTCCTTTGTGCGATCCAAGAACATAAAGTAGTGTCATGGTTTTAGAAAGGTGATCTAAAGAAAAAACAGAGGGCACAGAGTTGAGTTTTAACCTGAGCAGAGCACTCAATAAGAAATCAGAACATGAAACTGGAGAAGTATGCTCTTGTAAGGATATTCCATCACCACCTAATCTTTTCACTAACAGAAAACTGAGTCCTCCTCACACACTGGTCTGCCGAGGCTTCTTATCAGGGAGTGAAAGGACAAAGGGGAAAAGTATGCCTTTCGCTGCAGAGAGGACACTCAAGTTCTCATCAATGAAACCTGGAGAGATCTCATCAGCATCGAACCTCATGGTGAACTGGCGGCTTACACAATAGATCGTGCCATCCATTGCGACACACTGGAAGGCGGGGCAGTGATGAATCCTTTTGGTGCTGCACTCGTACCACATTCGAGCCACGGTATGGTAGCGGTACACTCCGAGACCCAGCAGGGGGTTGACATCAAAACGATACAGAAATCTCCCCACGCCTATCATATCTGCAGTTCTGTCTTTAGTTCCTGCTAGCAGACTTGGCCTCCAGGTGTTGGTTTTGGGGCTGTAGCGCAGCAGTATGCATCTCAGAGTTCCCCCAGAAACAAAAAGCTCTCCACTGCACACAGCGACGTGATGCGCCACAGCAAATGTATCATTAGGCAGTGGAGCCACGAACGTCCACCTGTCCAATCGCGGGTCGTAGCGCTCCACTGAGGAGAGGCACTCCCCTCCGATGGCGTAGATGAAGCCCTCCAGTGCTGCCAGTTTGCAGCGGGGCCTGGCTTCATTCATGGCACTGATCTCCTTCCAAATTGATGTCAAAGGATTGTAGCAAAACACTCGCTTTGAGGGTGTCATTTCTCTGTCTGTGCCTTTGCAGCCTACCGCCACAAATAAGTAGTTATCCATTGTGCACATGGCGCAGGCTTTAGAGATGACCTCCTGGGGGATCAGGCAGAGTGTATGCCAGGTGTCTTTGTAGTCATCATAACAGTACACTGCGCTGGATGTCCTCCTCTGCTCCGTCTCTGCCGGTTGCCCTCCTGTGTTCCTCGCCCAGTCTTGAGGGTCCATATCTACCACAATGACAAACCTCCTCCCTCTCATCCTCTGCTTTTGGATTTGCTCCCGCTCACCAGCCATTAGCCGCCCATAAAGGTTGGGGTCCCTAATCACCTGGAGGTAGTTGTCTGACATGACTCCCAGGGCTGCTTTCTGCACAGAAGTCTGGCCATGTTTCTTGGCAAGACACAGTGTCTCCAAACAGTTTCCCAGATTGAGTATACTATTCAGGCTTTCCAAATCTTTGCCATCGAAATCTTTCGCTGTAAGGTCTAAAAATGCTGCTTCAGTCTCTGGATCTGCACCCTCCTTTACAGTTATGCCTTTGCCTTCTGTAGAGTGACAGATCGTGGGGTGAGCAGTGATGGACTCAGTGCTGGTTGGGGCCAGAGAGTGAGTCACTGGAGTTGAAGCGCTTGTATTTAGAACGGGGATGTAAAGCTCCGACTGCTCTGTTGCTGACAGATAGCTCTCCTTGCGTAGGAGTACAGGCCTTGCGGAGTGCCTCCGTTTCAGGCATTCCAGTGACGGATCCTCAACATTGCTTTGTGGAAAAACTAGATCACGCATGATGATGGGGCTCAGAGAAGAAGGAAACTCTGGGAGGCTGCTGCCCCGACTTCCCAGCTCCACTGACTGTGACTCAGAGTTCCTCTCATACTGACCCAGCACAGTGTTTAAGCCTGTAATGGAGTGCGAGGAAGACTCCACATAGTAATCATATATCTTTCCCCGCACTATCTGGTCTCCTGTTCCCTCCAGCACCACGTTAGCATCCTCCACTTTGATCTCTGCCTTGGAGAGGAAGCTGGAGTAGGCCCCCTGGTGCTCCAAGTCCTGCCTTAACTCCCTGCCCACACCCACAATGCCCTCCAGCTTCTGCAAAAAGCAAGGGGAGCGGCGCCCCGTTGCACTGGCCATCCCACTCTCAGTCGGATGAGGAAGGTTCAAAGCAGATCCAAATGAAATATTACTGGTGGCAACCTCTGCCTGCTTCTGATGAGGGAGTATCGCTTCTTTCATGCTGACACTACTAAAAGCATCCTCACTGTTTTCAGCTTGGCATGCAGGAGCTTCTGCTTCTGTTGCCGTAGTGTCGTCAGACGTCAGGTCATCAGGTTTTGAGGGTCTGGGTCGCGTGCCCCCATCATCCGTGTCATGTTCTGATGAGCTTTGGCTACGTAGCAATGTCTTGCAGTTTTGGCAGGTTGCCTTTTCTGGTCCTTTTTTGTCTTTGACAGAGAGCTGAGTTTTCTGAGCGTCCCTGGCGCTGTAGA